TGGAAGTTGTGGAGGGGTGTGTCGGGTGGGGTGTTTTAATTTTTCAGGGGTTGCTCTAGGGGTGAACTTTAATGTGACGTGGGAGCGTTAAACGGTCGGGTTTACTTTATATGCAACTAGTTGCAGTTTAAAAATGCATGGTTTTTACCCGACCTATATCCTGTAAAACAACATTTGCATAGAATATATTGCCAAAAAGACAATCGCATATAAAATGGCTATAATAATAAACTCGAACGATCAACGTATGAACAACAAAGATGGTGTTCCTTTTGGTTAGAAAACACGTGCTGTGAAGCCGGTTTAACGGTTTCTTTTTACGTTTACGTTTTTCATGAGGGGAAAAATGCGGGGATATCGTTGGTCGTTTTATCGCAAAACCCATAACCCAGACCCCTCGACGCCATTTTAAGCGCAAGCCACTTAAGCTCATTCTATTAGAAAGTTAATTATTAGCCTAGATATAACTCAATTAGTCTAATGGATTTTTAAACGCGTTTCGCTTCGAATTTTAATATTTTAAAGATTGGAGCGACTGAGATTAGTGCACACAAATTCGCAATCAAGAAAAGTATGATTTTACTTCCAGAGCGTAAGTCTGTCTGTCTGTCTAGCTGCCGTCCGTCCGGATTTTTATCAGACAGGTAATCTTCGAAACTACTGGACCGATTGTTGTCAATCCTTGTATGTTTTTGTGTTTTCTTCGATTTTACAATTTTTTGATATCTCCATTTTGCAGTCTTTTGGTTTAAAAATTTTTCGTTTTTGCAATCTCTATTTTTTTGATTTCTTGACTTCCAAGTTTTCCAATTGTTCGATTTTCAATTTTTCAGTTTTGCAATTTTTTGAGATTAAAACTTTTCATTTTTCGATTTTTCAGTTTCTCACTTTCTATTTTTTTTGATTTTTCAATTTTTCATTACTTCAATTTTTTAAGTTTTTCATTTTTATTTTTCATTTTACCGATTTATTAATTTGCATTTTCTCGATTTTACATAATCATTTTTCGTTTTTTTTTATTTCCTTTATTTTGTGTTCAATGTTTCTTTCAATTTTATAATTTTTCGTTTATTCAATTCTTCAAATTTTTAATCTTCGATTCCTCGATTTTTCAATTTTGCAATTTTTGAATGTCCGATTTCTTTAATTTTCAATATTTTGATTACACAGTCTTTCGTTTTGTCGATTTTGCACTTTTTCGATTTTTAATTTAATAAATTTAAGTTTCTCAATTTTTAACCTTCCGATTTTTCAATTTATCCGTTCATTTTTTCAAGTTCCTGATCTCGAATTTTTAGAGTTTTCAAAGTTTTCATTTTATACTTTTTCGTTTTTCATTTCTGATTTTTCAATTTTACAATGTTTCCATTTTTTGATTCGAAAAGTTGACGTATCGAAAAATTGAAAAACTGAAAAGTTAAAAATCCAAAAAGTAAAAAATTGGAAACAAGGAAAAAAATGCAAAATCGAAAAATTGAAAAATCGAATAACGAAAGGTGAAAAACTGATAAAACGAAAAATTGAAAATCGAAGAACCGAAGAAACGAAAAATCGAAAAGACGAATCGAATCGAAAAATTATAGAAAAATTGAAAAGTTGAAAAACTAACATTGAAAAATCGAAAAATTGAACAATTAAATATCGAGAAAAAAGATTAAAAACAGAAAACTGAAAAATTGAATAAATGAAAACATTTTAAAATCCAATACGCTTTTCAAAATTTTTATTTTCTATGCAAACAAACCTGAAAACTGAATCTATAATTTTCAAAATGTTTAAAAAAAATGGTCAAAATAGGTTCAATCGACTGAAAATTGGTGTCAAATTATACATACTCTTCCTATCATTAAGAATCGGAAATCGTCGCCACGACATTTATTCAAGTAAACGTAAATAGTGAATATACGATTTCCAAAATTTTTCCAAAAAAATGGTTAAAATGGGTCAATCGACTCTAAATTGGTATCAAATTGTACATAACCTTCCGATAATTAGGACTCGGAAATCCCCATTATGACAACCATTTAAATTACAATTTTCAAAATTTTTCCAAAAAAAAATGGTAAAAATGGGTTGAATCGAATGAGAATTGGTGTCAAACTGTAGACAATCGTTCGATAATTCAGAATCCGAAATCGCCATCACAACATATTCAAATAAACGTAAATACTGAATTTACAATTTTCAAAATTTTTCCAAAAAATTGTTAAAATTTGTGCAATCGATTCAAAATTGGTATCAAATTGTGGATAATCTTTCGATTATTAAGACTCCGACATCGCCGCTACGAGTCTATTCAAATAAACGTGAAAATTGTGTATACAATTTTCAAAATTTTTCCAAAAAATGGTAAAAATGGTTTGAATCCAATGAGAATTGGTGTCAAACTGTAGACAATCGTTCGATAATTCAGAATCCGAAATCGTCATCACAACATATTCAATTAAACGTAAATAGTGACTTTCGAATTTTCAAAATGTTTCCAAAAAATTGTTAAAATGAGTGCAATCGACTCAAAATTGGTATCAAATTGTAGATAATCTTCCGATTATTAAGATCCGAAATCGCCGCTACGAAATCTATTCAAATAAACGTGAAAATTGTGTATACATGTTTCAAAATTTTTCCAAAAAATGGTAAAAATGGGTTGAATCGAATGAGAATTGGTGTCAAACTGTAGACAATCGTTCGATAATTCATTAACCGCAATTGCCATCACAATATCTATTCATATACGTAAATAGTGAATTTACAATTTTCAAAATTTTTCCAAAAAAATTGTTGAAATGAGTGCAATCGACTCAAAGTTGGTATCAAATTGTAGATAATCTTCCGATAATTAAGACTCCGAAATCGCCGTTACCAAATCTTTTCAAATAAACGTGAAAATTATGTATACAATTTTCAAAATTTTTCCAAAAAAATTGTTAAAATGAGTGCAATCAAATCAAAGTTGGTATCAAATTGTAGATAATCTTCCGATAATAAAGAATCCAAAATCGCCGTTACGCCATCTATTCAAATAAACGTGACAATTGTGTATACAATTTTCAAAATTTTTCCAAAAAAATGATAAAATTCAGTCGAATCGAATGAGAATTGGTGTCAAACGGTAGATAATCGTTCAATAAATCAGAATCCGATATCGCCATCACCACATCTATTCAAATAAACGTAAATAGTGATTTACAATTTTCAAAATTTTTCCAAAAAAAATGTTAAAATGGGTGCAATCGAATCAAAGTTGGTATCAAATTGTAGATAATCTTCCGATAATAAGTAAAGAATCCCAAATCGCCGTTACGCCATCTATTCAAATAAACGTGACAATTGTGTATACAATTTTCAAAATTTTTCCAAAAAAATGATAAAATTCAGTTGAATCGAATGAGAATTGGTGTCAAACTGTAGATAATAGTTCAATAAATCAGAATCTAATATCGCCATCACCAAATCTATTCAAATAAACGTAAATGGTGAATTTACAATTTTCAAAATTTTTCCAAAAAAATTGTTAAAATGAGTGCAATCGACTAAAAGTTGGTATCAAATTGTAGATAATCTTCCGATTATTAAGACTCTGAAATCGCCGCTACGAAATCTATTCAAATAAACGTGAAAATTGTGTATACAATTTTCAAAACTTTTCCAAAAAATGGTAAAAATGGTTTGAATCCAATGAGAATTGGTGTCAAACTGTAGACAATCGTTCGATAATTCAGAATCCGAAATCGCCATCACAACATATTCAAATAAACGTAAATAGTGACTTTACAATTTTCAAAATTTTTCCAAAAAATTGTTAAAATTTGTGCAATCGACTCAAAATTGGTATCAAATTGTAGATAATCTTCCGATTATTAAGACTCCGAAATCGCCGCTACGAATCTATTCAAATAAACGTGAAAATTGTGTATACAATTTTCAAAATTTTTCCAAAAAATTGTAAAAATGGGTTGAATCGAATGAGAATTGGTGTCAAACTGTAGATAATAATCTTTCGATAATTCAGAGTCCAAAATCGTCATCATAACTTCTATTCAAATAAACGTGAATAGTGAATTTACGATTTTCAAACTTTTTCAAACATCGTCCCCACGACATCTATTCAAATAAACGTTGATACTGAATTTACGATTTTCAAAATTTTTCCAAAAAAAAAGGTTAAAATAGGTTCAAGTGACTGAGAATGGGTGTCAAATGTGGATAATGTTCTGATAGACTCCAAAATCGCCGTTACGACATTTATTCAAATAAACGTGAAACTGATTCTTTATGTATTCAACATGTGAAAATTGTGTCTACAATTTTGAAAATGTTTCCAAAAAGTGGTAAAAATGGGTTCAATCAACTGAGAATTGATGACAAATTCTTTCGGTAAACAAGAATCCGAAATCATCGCCATGACATCTACTCAAATAAACGTGAAAACTGATGTACAATTTTCCAAATGTTTCCAAAAAAATGGTAAAAATGGGTTCAATCAACTGATAATTGTTGTCAAATTGTAGGTAATTGCCCGATAATGTAAAGGGAGTGAAAGGGCTGATAAACAAACAGAAATAATGGCAATTCTTTTCCGAAATTCCTGATATAATAATAATTAATCATAATTTTTTCGATATTTAGAAACTTCTAAGGACAAGTGCACTCCAGACTAAATACAAACAAGTGTGTTTTCGTATCATAATGCGTTCAAATCATAGACAATGGCGGAGAATTCTAAAAATATATAGTGTTTTAGGATATCATTTACCTTTTTACACTAGTACTGATCTTACATTTGTCTTAATGTATACACTTACTTAAATTGCCGCATATAATTTATAAAATACGTCAAAATTACCCCATTGAACTACGACAATCGCACTATAAAGTTATGCAATTTTTTACTTCTTCAAGTAAAGTTCTAACGGCAAAAATTCCGGGCCCATTTGAATATAAATAGAGATTCCGGTCACGGGAAAGCACACCGTGTGTCATATAAATGTGCAACATACCTTTTATTGTTTTACAAGTCCCGCTAGACCACAATCGATGGCATTATCCAAAAAGCGAGTGCACATAACGGCTATTCCTGGAACAAAGAAAAAAAAATTGCATGATAGGGATTATTAGGGATCAACTACGAATACTAAATCATTGTGTAATGCTTGTTCAGAGCGTGGTTTTCTCGGAACAGCTTGTTATGATATTAATAGAGCATTGTTACAGGGCAGTGTACACATTATGCACAACTCATTAGAGTCGGATGAAGCTCTACATTACGAGAATGCAAATTACCGGACAACACTCGAAAAACTACGTTCAGGTTCTAGGAGTCCGGAAAATAATATAGGGTTACCTACGAGGGAAATATTTTTTTACAAAGTCGCTTCGACCTTCGAGCTCCTAATTACCCTCTTGCAAGCAGCCTGGCCAAACTTGCCGAAACCGCTTATGTAAAATCCGAAGTGTTCAATAGAATTGATGATCGCCGATCTTATCAAGCGGAATACAGATCGCCCCTTTATCTGTGATTTGGCCCCCAATATTTCAGAAGGAGCCCAGTAATGGACCAAAGTGAAAACTCCCCAAAACATTTGAATGTTGATGACCGCCGATCCGCTATTTATATGCGCCACATGCCCCGACTTCTTTCCGGAAGCGTTGTTTATTATTCATTTTCTGCTTCGCTCATCTGTTTAACGTTGTACGAACGATCTAACGTGCAAATTCTTAATTCGGCCCTTCGAGAAATTTCAATTCGCGCTAGTCTTTTGATCCTTTGTTGACAACTAGCGGCTCGGTTTATTCTTGTGTGATTTGTGTAGTTAAGAACAAGCCTGATGTACCATCACGTGTGTTTGTTATGTCAATAGCAGAAATCTGTAGCTCAGTTTATGCATAATACATATTTTGCTATGTTAATTAAAGTGGTACATTTTCCACTGAATACGTTATCGTAATTAACTGCCTAATGTTCGCTCAATCTAAATATATAAAAATCTACATATTTCTTTATTCAAAGATTCACGAAATTCGAATAAACATGAAGTTTTCGTGTCAAGTTTTGCATGAATTTCTTATCGCAGTCTTTTTCAAGAGTGAAATGTACGTGCTTTATTTCGGCGGTTTTCGTGTTGTACAAATCTGAAATTAAAAAAATTGGATTTTTTGATTTTGCAATTTTTCGATTTGAGTTTCTCTAGTTTTTTTTTTTGAATTTTTCTTTTTTTGTTGTTTCTGCAATTTTTTGATTTGCAATTTTTCGAATTTTCAAGTTTCCATTTTTCAGCTTTTAAATTTGCAATTTTTTGCTTCGGTTTTTTATTTTTTTTTTCATTTTTAATTGTTCTATTTCGATTTGCAATTTTTCGTCTAGGTTTTTCATGTTCTTTATTTTTTCAATTAGTCGATTTTTCAATATTCCGGTTTTATAATCTTTTGTTTTTTCAATTTTTGATTTCTTCAATTTTTCGATTTGCGAATTTTCAATATTTCATTTTTTTTTGTTTCTTCAATTTTTATATTTTGCAATTTTTCGATTTACGAATTTTCAATATTTCATTTTTTTTTATTTCTTCAGTTTTTAGATTTTGCAATTTTTCGATTTAAAATTTCTCTAACTTTCAATTTTTCGTTTGGGTTTTCATTTTCTTTATTTTTTATAATTTTTCGTTTTTTCAATGTTGCTATTTTATAATTTTTTGTTTTTCCAATTTCAACTTTTTTTCAATTTTTCCTTTGTTCAATTTTTCAGTTTGAATTTTTCATTTTTTTTTGTTTCTTCAATTTTTTGATTTGCAATTTTTCGAATTTTCAAATTTCAATTTTTCAGTTTTTCAATTTGCAATTTTTTGTTTCGATTTTTTAATTTTTTTTCCAATTTTTAATTGTTCTGTTTTCGATTTGCAATTTTTCGTCTACGTTTTTCATTTTCTTTATTTTTCCAATTAGTCGATTTTTCAACATTCCGGTTTTATAATCTTCTGTTTTTTCAATTTTTGATTTCTTCAATTTATCGTTTCTTCAATTTTTCGATTTAAAATTTCTCTAACTTTCAATTTTTCATTTTCCAATTTTTCGAATTTTCAAGTTTCAATTTTTCACAGTTTTTAAATTTGCAATTTTTTGCTTCGGTTTTTTATTAATTTTTTTTTTCATTTTTGATTGTTCTATTTCGATTTGCAATTTTTCGTCTAGATTTTTCATGTTCTTTATTTTTTCAATTAGTCGATTTTTCAATATTCCGGTTTTATAATCTTTTGTTTTTTCAATTTTTGATTTCTTCAATTTTTCGATTTGCGAATTTTCAATATTTCATTTTTTTTTGTTTCTTCAATTTTTATATTTTGCAATTTTTCGATTTAAAATTTCTCTAAGTTTCAATTTTTCATTTTCCAATTTTTCGTTTGGGTTTTAATTTTCTTTATTTTTATAATTTTTCGTTTTTTCAATGTTGCTATTTTATAATTTTTTGTTTTCCCAATTTAAATTTTTTTCAATTTTTCCTTTGTTCAACTTTTCGGTTTAAATTTTTCATTTTTTTTTGGTTCTTCAGTCTTTTTGATTTGCAATTTTTCGAATTTTCAAGTTTTAATTTTTCACAGTTTTTCAATTTGCAATTTTTTGCTTCGGTTTTTTATTTTTTTTTTTCATTTGTAATTGTTCTATTTTCGATTTGCAATTTTTCGTCTAGGTTTTTCATGTTCTTTATTTTTTCAATTAGTCGATTTTTCAATATTCCGGTTTTTTAATCTTTTGTTTTTTCAATTTTTGATTTCTTCAATTTATCGTTTCTTCAATTTTTCGATTTGCGAATTTTCAATATTTAATTTTTTTTTTGTTTCTTCAATTTTTAGATTTTGCAATTTTTCGATTTAAAATTTTTCGATTTAAAATTTCTCTACTTTCAATTTTTCATTTTCCAATTTTTCATTTGGGTTTTCATTTTTTTTATTTTTATAATTTTTCGTTTTTTCAATGTTGCTATTTTATAATTTTTTGTTTTCCCAATTTAAATTTTTTTCAATTTTTCCTTTGTTCAATTTTTTGGTTTAAATTTTTCATTTTTTTTGTTTCTTCGGTCTTTTTGATTTGCAATTTTTCGAATTTTCAAGTTTTCATTTTTCACAGTTTTTCAATTTTCAATTGTTCTATTTTCAATTTGCAATTTTTCGTCTAGGTTTTTCATGTTCTTTATTTTATCAATTAGTCGATTTTTCAATATTCCGGTTTTATAATCTTTTGTTTTTTCAATTTTTGATTTCTTCAATTTATCGTGTCTTCAATTTTTCGATTTGCAATTTTTCGATCTTTCATTTCTTAAATTTTCGGTTTTTTATTTTCTATATTTTTATAATTTTTGGATTTTTCAATGTTTCGATTTCATAATTTTTTGTTTTTCCAATTTTCAAGTTTCAATTTTTCACAGCTTTTCAATATGAAATTCTTGGTTTCGGTCTTTTATTTTCTTTATTTTTTCAGATTATTCAATGTTCCGACTTTATGATCTTTGGTTTTCTCAATTTTTGATATAGTTTCTTCAATTTTTCGATTTCCGAAATTTCAATATTTCATTCTTTTTTGTTTATTCAGTTTTTAGACTTTGCAATTTTTTTAATTTAAAATTTCTCTGGCTTTCAATTTTTCATTTTCCAATTTTTCGATCTTCCATTTCTTCAAATTTTCGATTTGCAATTTTTTTCGTTTCGGTTTTTTATTTTCTTTACTTTTATAATTTTTCGATTTTTCAATGATCCGATTTTTTAATTATGCGTTTTTCCATTTTATTTATTTTGTTTCTTCAATTTTTCGTTGTAATTTTCCGAATTCTCATGTTTCAATTTGCATTTTTCGTTTCGATTTTTGAATTTTTGATTTTTTGTTTTTTTCTGGTGAAATTTGGATTTTTCAATTTTGCGATTTGCAATTGTTCGGTTTTAAGTTTTTAGATTTTTCAGTGCCTCGATTTTTCAATTTTTCGTTTCTTCAATTTCTAATTTGCAATTATTCTAATTCTCAATTACTGAATTTTATTTTTTTACCTTTATTCGATTTTTCAATTTTTCGATTATCGATTTTTCAATTCTTCGATCTTTCAATGTAACAACGATTTTACAATTTTGACGTTTCTATAATTTTTCGTTTTTACTGTTTTGGGTTTACCAATTAGTCGGTTCATTAATTTTTTCGATTTTTAAGTTCCTCGGGTTTTAGTTTTTCAAAGTTTCGATTTTCCATTTTGCAATTTTTCGATTTCCCACTTTTTCGCTTTTGGATTTTTTCGTTTTTTCAATATTTCATTTTTCCCGATTTTTTCGTTTTTCGAGTTTTAATTCTTGGATTTTTCAATTTTTCGATTTTTAAACTTTTCGAATAATAAAAAATGGAAAAATTGCGAAATTGTAAAATTGAAAAGTCAAAAATGAAAAAACAAAAAAGGATAAAACGAAAACTTTGAAAAATCTAAAAACTGGAAATGAAGAACTTGATAAATTGAAGAAACGAAAAATTGAATAATCGAAAAAACGGAATACTGTAAGATCAAAATATTGAAAATTGAAAATTAGGAAAATAGGATAATTGAGAAGTCCAAAAATTGCAAAACCGGAAATTGTAAAAAAAAAGGAAACGAAAGAACGAAAAATTGTGATATAAAATCGTAGAAATGAAAATTAAAAAGTCAGTAAAATGAAAAATAAAAATCGAGAACTTGAAAAACTGAAGAAACGAAAAAAGTTCATACAAAATGTTAACTGAGTATAAGTTAATCAGGCATTTAACGGGGTGTTTAGCTACGTCTGATTGGCGTAGACTCGGTCACGTGGTACTTTAATGCCGTATTAAAAATAAATCAAATATGTAACTGAGCTTTTATAAACCGGATCTAAAAACTGAGAAATTGAAAAATCGAAAAATCGAAACATTAAAAATTGTACTAAAATTGCAAACTTGAATTCTTAATTTTTTTAATAACCCTGTATATGTAATGCTAAAAACTATGAGTGCATTGATAAATCACAAGTATAGGCTCATAATATTTTGCACAATTTGTGTAAAATTTATTCGGCAAAATTTTGAGGTGACGTCATG